CACTCTCACACACTCTCACACACTCTCACACACTCTCACACTCACTCACTCTCTCTCTCTCTCACTCACTCACTCTCACACTCACACTCACTCTCACACTCACTCACTCTCTCTCTCTCTCACTCACTCTCTCTCTCTCTCTCTCTCTCTCTCTCTCTCTCTCTCTCTCTCTCTCTCTCTCTCTCTCTCTCTCTCTCTCTCTCTCTCTCTCTCTCTCTCTCTCTCTCTCTCTCTCTCTCTCTCTCTCTCTCTCTCTCTCTCTCTCTCTCTCTCTCTCTCTCTCTCTCTCTCTCTCTCTCTCTCTCTCTCTCTCTCTCTCTCTCTCTCTCTCTCTCTCTCTCTCTCTCTCTCTCTCTCTCTCTCTCTCTCTCTCTCTCTCTCTCTCTCTCTCTCTCTCTCTCTCTCTCTCTCTCTCTCTCTCTCTCTCTCTCTCTCTCTCTCTCTCTCTCTCTCTCTCTCTCTCTCACTCACTCACTCTCACACTCTCACACACACACACACTTACTTGGCGGCTGCTCCATCTGCATCATCAGACTCTGTAAGGCGTAGAGCGCCTGCAGCTCCTTCTGCTCATCTTTAATGTAGCGCTGCAGCAGCTTGGCCCTCTGCGTCATTTCTTTAGTGTCTACTTTATATGGATTCTCACCTTGACAATCACAGGATGCAAACAACATTAAAGCCAACATGACTTTTACTTTTTGACATTATTATACAGAAAACCAATCTCTTCTGCTGATGCAGGGATTCCAAATATTTGTGTCAGTTTACTTGAAGTCTGTCTGAAATTTAACACATTTGCATGTTCAGGGTTCTTTAATATTAGTCGTCACATGACATGCAGGTGAACAAACGTTTATTGTATCTTTTTTAATACGTGTTTTAATTTTGATAGTTTTTAATTTATATTATTATAATATTTATTTATATAACTATTTTAATTGTACATTTTAATTAATTATTAATAATACTAAATACAAATAAGTATTACATTAATTACTTTTTCAACAATTTACAAACCCCTGCAGTTTCCCCAAGATCCCCGTTATTTATTTATTTTTTTTACAATTATTGAATAAATAAAATAAAATTATTAATAAAATTATTTATTTAATTTACAATTATTTTAATATTTAATTTTAATATTCATATATATTCATTATAAATAATTATTACATTAATTAATTTTAAACAACTTACAAACCTCCTGCAGTTCCATCAAGAACCCCAGTTAATTAAACAAATATTTATTTATTTTACAATTATTAATTATAATATATATATATATACACATACATACATGCATTATAAAAACTTTTTATTATATTATTGCTCCTTCTGCTCATCTTTAATGTAGCGCTGCAGCAGCTTGGCCCTCTGCGTCATTTCTTTAGTGTCTACTTTATATGGATTCTCACCTTGACAATCACAGGATGCAAACAACATTAAAGCCAACATGACTTTTACTTTTTGACATTATTATACAGAAAACCAATCTCTTCTGCTGATGCAGGGATTCCAAATATTTGTGTCAGTTTACTTGAAGTCTGTCTGAAATTTAACACATTTGCATGTTCAGGGTTCTTTAATATTAGTCGTCACATGACATGCAGGTGAACAAATGTTTATTGTATCTTTTTTAATACGTGTTTTAATTTTGATAGTTTTTAATTTATATTATTATAATATTTATTTATATAACTATTTTAATTGTACATTTTAATTAATTATTAATAATACTAAATACAAATAAGTATTACATTAATTACTTTTTCAACAATTTACAAACCCCTGCAGTTTCCCCAAGATCCCCGTTATTTATTTATTTTTTTTACAATTATTGAATAAATAAAATAAAATTATTAATACAATTATTTATTTAATTTACAATTATTTTAATATTTAATTTTAATATTCATATATATTCATTATAAATAATTATTACATTAATTAATTTTAAACAACTTACAAACCTCCTGCAGTTCCATCAAGAACCCCAGTTAATTAAACAAATATTTATTTATTTTACAATTATTAATTATAATATATATATATACACATACATACATGCATTATAAAAACTTTGTATTATATTATTATAAACAAGTTTTTTCAATGTTTTCAATTTAATTTTAGGTAAAGTTCCAGAAATGTTCTATGTGTTTGTCTAAATAGCTTTTTATTTTTTTTAATCAACTGTTATTTTAGTTTTAGTTATTTTAGTACATCAAGTTAAACTACATGAAAACTAGAACTGTTGCCTTGGCAATTAGTTGCTTTTTTAATATTTCATTTCCGTTAACACACAATCAAATCCTGATGTATAGAATCAAGCTCCGCCTCACGTTATTTCCCGCTGAATGATGTGCGTTAATCCTGTTTCGAGTGTGATTAGAGGATGAAGAGACTCACAGATGATGGCAGACTGACAGACAGCAGTCATCAGCGGCCGGACAAACGTGTTCGATGCTGTTTGCTGCTCGTCCAGATTGGCCTGCAGAGAGAGACAGGTCAAAGATCACTGAGGTGAAACCAACAACTATTTATTTACTCTCACGCACTCCAACATGCACTCGCACACACACTCGCTCACGCACTACCACTGGCACACACACTGGCTCACACACTCGCTCACGCACTACCACTGGCACACACACTCGCTCACACACTCGCTCACGCATTACCACTCGCACACACACTCGCTCACGCACTCCAACATGCAGTCGCACACACACTCGCACACACACTCGCTCACGCACTACCACTGGCACACACACTGGCTCACGCACACACACTCGCTCACGCACTCCAACATGCAGTCGCACACACACTCGCACACACACTCGCTCACGCACTCCAACATGCAGTCGCACACACACTCGCACACACACTCGCTCACGCACTC